GCAAGAGGAGGCAGGTCTCCCAGGACTGTACTATAAGAAAAAGAAAACTAACACGGCCCCAGACAGTGACAGTGCATTGCTGTCCCCGCCCAGTGACAGCAAGGCGCCTCTGCTCCTTCCCCATGGGTCCTGGGCAGGACACACTGGCCGGGTCAGTAGTCACACAGGACACAGCAGGCTGTGTCCATCTACTCCAGGACATTGCTCCCCCTGGGCGGAAGCTGCAGTGTGGCCACTCCTTGGTTAAGTTGCCACTGGCCCAGTGACACCATAGGCAAAGGCTGCCTTGTGTGCTCTCAGCCTTGAGGGTGGCGCTAGTCTCTGTTCTTCCTACAGAGCATGAAATCCTAGATTTGCTGTCCTGGTCACAGCAGAGGGGCAGCTTCAGGGGCTCCCAGCTGGTCTTCCTGGAACAGTGACACTTCCTCACAGGTCACGAGTCAGTAGGAGGTCTGCGCCAACTGCCTGGTGTATCCACCTCTAGCGTGTTTCCAGAAACCAGGGGCAGAGCCACGGGGTCCCCTATCCTGTCTCTGGGATCTCGATCTTGCCTCTTGTTTCATTCAGAACTTGCTGCCTGGTCCACTATTATACTCACCTTGCCCTGGACAGCTCCGTGCTCCCACCAGCCCTCTACCCTTCTGGAATTCTCCCAGTCCCCTGACCTTAGCAGCTAGGTAATGGGCTGTCCTCCTGGCAGCCCAGCCTGGAGAGGATGCCAGCACTAAGTCTCTCTACGATGCTAATGCCCCCTCACCAGCATATTCCTTATGGCCCTGGAAACTGGTGTGCCCTCCCGCACGTCACAAGGATGCTGTTCGTTTGGTGGGCCTTCGGGTTCCACTTTAACTACTGACTTCTGGGATTGGTCATCAGTACAGTCCTCAACCTATAATGCGTTACATCTAAATAAACCCATCACATCCATAAGTGAAATCTATGTTGTCAGCAAACACTGGGTTTATTGAGACATAACCCCAGGGTAGGTTGAGGAGCACCTGTATATATAAACACACACATGCAGGTCTATTGGACTCTTTTTTCTGGAGAATCCTGACTAAGACACCCCCAGTTGACAAGGACCTCCTCTACCTTCCCCTATATTAGAATGGAAAGTCCCAGAGGGCAAAGTCTCCAGGAGTGTGAACCTGCTGAATGTCCATCTCATCAGGTTCTCTGTGGGATGAAAGGACAGAAGGTAGAACGTTCTCGTTTTCTCTGCCCCTGACTTGAAGTCTCTCCAATAATGCTAATTCTGTAGCCCACGCTGTGCGAGATGGTGGTATTTGCTCTGAGCCTTGTGTGATGCTTACCCAGCTCCTACTCATAGTTGCTGGAAAAGTCCCAGCTCTAGAGTCAGGTTCATGACTTCCTCCCCAGCCATAAACCCTGCTGGTTGCAGCCTGATCTGCACAGTGAGCAGCCCCCAAACAAAAGAGCTCCAGGAAGGCACACTGAGGACGACTGAAACTGGGCTGGGGATAGGGTATAGGGAGGGGGAGAAGCTTCTTCACAAATATAGCAGAGAAAGAAAATACATTTGTTATTGAAAAAGCCTTAATGGCTCGGCGCCTGTGGCTCAAGCGGCTAAGGCGCCAGCCACATACACCTAAGGTGGCGGGTTGGAATCCAGCC